CCGGATGAAAAGTTCTAGACGCAGTCCAAGCAAGAGTGTGCAGTTGAGACGGGTTGATTTTATCTCTGTCAAGCGTTAACAAGGGTGTCCTCGGATCGGCTCAGCGCTAAGAAAACACACGGGATGGGAAAGGCCATTGTGACCTTAGCTCCATACAAGGAACAAAGGATTTCCTGGCAAACAAGGAGGCGACGAGGCCATTTTCAAAGCCGTATTTGCTGTTTGAGATGGTGGCTAAATTAAACCGATTGCAGCTGCATTTTTTGAGCTACCCAAAGTTCCGGAAATTTGCAGTCGTTTACGGAGTAACTCCTAGCAAACAACAAGAGATTGGTTGACCACTCCACATCTCTCTGTAGTATCGGCTACATGGGGTGGCATGTCTGACGATAAACCTGTAAGGCCTCTACATTGTTCTACCTTAATGCAGACAGGCAAGTTTGGCACTTGTAACAGAAGCCGGTTTTTTCGAACATCATCCCTTGCTGGGAAAGTTCCTGGAACCCAGATCAGCTAGGACCATCGGATGTGCGTGATATCTCAGTGTCGTGTTCAAAACTTTGGTGCAGTGCATTCGTGCCCATATTTGGGCATCGTTTACCCTTTCCGCATGCATTGTGTGGTGCCTTTCCCCGCCTGCGTGGGTGGAGAGCCGAGACTCTATCAAGTGCCGTATCGGGTGAAGATGCAGACAATGCACCCAGGGTTGGCAACAAGACGCTATATAATCAGAAGACATTTTGTATGATTTCAGTTCGGTTCTTCAACGAGCTCTTACTTAATCACTTGGTCACCTTATACAGTCGAGTCTCAATGCGCTTAATTCGAACTCACGATGAGGTCCCGTCAAAGGTATGTGTATTTCTCCCTTTTCCGTCCCTGCCACGAAAAGACCCTTCTCCTTCTAATGCCGTGCGCGAAGGGAGAGAGAGGAAAAAAAAAAACCTGTCACTGGGTTGAATGAATGTGTGGTTGAAGAAAAGGAAAAAGGCACTATCTTCTGCAGCCCTTGCCCCTTGCGGGAGCACGGCTCTGCGCCTTGAGGGGGGGGGGGTCTCTCACGCGCCGGTTCTACGCTTCCTCTTTTCCCTTCCCTGCCACGTAACCTTTTTACTTTCAAAGACGCATGCGAAGAGAGCAAAAAAAAAATCTGCCGTGGAGTGTTGGTTTTTTTCCCAAATGCCGATCTGCTTCTTTCCGCGTGGAGATGCTCCGCTTTCTCGTCATGTGCTGGCCAAGCTGCGACTGCGTAGCGAAGCTGTTGTCGTCTTTAAAAAGTGTCGGCGCTGGACATTTCCGCGCGCAACTTCTCTTGCCAGGAGAATGCTGAAGTCGAAGTAGAAATGCTTTGCAAGCTGCATGCGAAATTAATTGACTTGGTGCAAGGCAAACGTGTGCAGACGCGCACACCAATTTTTTCAATTAATAACGGGTGTTTTGTGATTTGTGAATAAATGCATGTCTTCTGAAACTTCCCCCCCGTGTGTTAGCTCAATGCACATGCGCCACTGCATGAAGAGCACTCCGTTTAGTTAGCTTTCATTATTTCAAACTTCTTTCAATTCAAACAAATTTTAGAGCCCCTTCGAGTTCAAATTATCGAGATTCGACTGTATCAAATTTAGGTGAGAAATTTCTTTTCAGTTCCTAACCATGTAAATAAACCTTGGTCGTTCTTACGAGCACCTCATCTGACTACAATGGAACCTTGATTATACATCCCTCGGTTTTACGATGACCTGCAATTGACGATGAATCGATTCGGTTCCGGCAAAATCCTCATAGAAACAATGTATTGAAAACCTTGGTTATACGACGCAATTTTACGCCGACCCCGCATCTAACGACGACTTTCAGAGTCCGTCGAAAAAAAAACACCTTTACTGGAATCACATGTCGACCAAATATTCACGAGTGCAACATATGAACTTGTGTAACCCAAGGTGGACAACAGGAAAAGTAAAGTCATCTACATCGAATAAAAAATTTATTCTCCCGGAAGTTCATGCACTTTTACATACGGCTCAATCGAGTGCATACGTATCTGGAGTCGTTACCTAGTCAAGCTCTATCCACATAGAGTATGTTCAGCTGACCAAAAAGCTGATATTTTCACATTTTCAGTTTATGAAAACATTTCCTGGTCGACATACGGCTGATCTGCCTCTGTCACACTCGCAGTCACTGGTTTGCGTACGCATGAGGGCACAACGCAGCTGCTTTCACCACATAAAATTACTTTCACTTGACGTCAACGTTCATAACAGCAGCGGGACACCACTAGTTGCAGTTCACGAGGCAACAAACTACAACGCTCACAGCTCAGTCGCACACGAACGCATCATACATAAACTCGTCCATCGCCATCATGCAATAGCGATGGCACTGCGTCTGACTTTCATGATGGGAGGCTCACGGCAACATGGTTTCGCCTTCGTTATCGCACGCAGGCAATTTTCGAACTTAATTTATCGTTAGAAAGATGCACATTGAATTTGATTGTTTTTAAAGCTGAGAATAAAGATTCGCTTGGACTTCCTTCAACTAATTATTGCCGCCGTTAGCTACCACTGGATACAATAATTTAATCTACCCTCATTGCAGAGGCAGAAGGTCGTGCCGTGGGCTTACTCAGGCAGTCTGTACCCATTTTTCAGGCAAGGCTGAGTGTCTAGGTCTATAATTTTCATTTTTCGATTATACAATGCCCAGGTTATACAACGCTTCTGCATGGTCCCCTAAAAGTTGTATAAGCGGGGTTCTACTGTAGTTGGACGATGGGTCCTACAACGGGGGCCCACTACCAAAATGAGACCCGCTAGACCCCCGAGTCCCAACAGGATGCTACCTGCGCAGCTCGTCATTTATGGTACATACGCCGGCCGCAGTCACGTGGGAGGAGCTCCAACATGGGGCCTTGCAGGACTGAATGTGTCGGACATTATCTAGATGCGCCGTGGAGGAACTGTCCACACCTGAATTATTTTTCTTACACCTTAGGCTCAACCAAAGGCCACATATTTCGTTTCTTTTCACTTGCATTCATAAGCAGCAATGGACATGTCGTGTATATACCGATCCTATTTCAAACGCCTGAGCGAGTCCCTCGTCTCACACCACAACAACCACCACATCATTGTTTCCAAACCCATTTACCACTGCATGTTTGCTCTCTCCTATGCATCTTGGAAGATGACGCTTGTGTAGCCAATCAAAACCTCTGAGAAATGCACTATCACCTATGCAAAACTGCTATCCTGCCTAGTTGAAATGAATCCACCTTTTTGCGAAGGAAAAGAATACACACGGAGAAGTGATTGTTCGTGGATGCGCTTTTCTATAGTTCCTGTTTGTTGCACACAAAGGTGCACAACAAACAAAACTAGAACAGGACAAAGTTGGTGCACACTGAATCCTCATGGAGCTCAGCCATACATTTACACAACAATAGCACATCTTGAGGTGCATAGCTGCCACAACCACCACAAGGTGACACCGGTGGTCTAAAACGTTCAATCCCATGATGTGCACTGATATAGTTGTCTGTTCCTAGTCATACCCCCATGTACGTGCATGTAACTTACCGAATACAAAAGATGTAACTTGCCGAATACAAAAGATGAGAAAAGGCACTCTCAGCCAGCAACAAATTTCTGCACCTCTACTGATTACTTGACAGCTTTGAAACAATTCGGTGACAAAAGATACCTGAGTGACTAATTTTCTAGAGTGTAGGCGCTCTATGATTAATTGAAGAAGTCTTGCAGGGTACTCAATTACTGCATGATGCAGTGAACGTAAGACAGTTGAGAATAAAGCTTGTGCCCGCTTGTGCCCGCCGTAAGACAGTTAGCCAAAGCTTGTGCCCCATCTCTGTAGCTGCTGTTTATGTTTTCATGCAATTTCTCACCTAAAATGAACCCACTTTGCCCTCTATTGCAGTTGTTTTACCAAGTCTCCATATATCATGAAAAATGCAGTAGGGTCAAAAAGAGCACACCAGAGTAAACGCTAAACTGTCTATCTGGGAAAATGAAACATAGAAAATGGTGGCACATTATTTCACGAAGAAGGTGTGCATAAACGCTAGCAAATGGCTGATGAACAACGTCGAAGCCATCAAAGCGGGAGGTATGCAAAGTTCAATAAAGATAGAAAGGACGAAGAGCCTGTAGATAAACAAAAGACTGGACAATAAAGGAGGATTTGACACTTTACCAATACATTTTGCCCTGATCCCAGCTTACACCACGGAGCATGCCATGATCCGTGGTGCCCCATGGCCAGCTACAGACACAAATTATACTGAGCCGAGCGTGCATAAAAAAGTCAGCGCTCTACCTCACTAAGGATAGCTGGACTAAGTGTTTCATAAAGCTTCTCTTTAGCTGAAAATGCTTAGCCTACTTTACAAAATGTGGTAAACTGCATAATCTTCAAAATAAGAAAATATGTGGAGGCCTCAAGTGCCTTATTATAAAGTCATTTCACTGTCTGGGATTCGTTATTATGCAACGCATGCTCATGCATGTTATCAAGAGGCAAAATATTTAGTGTCCTACGACAACTTGCGGTAGAACGCTTTCCCACATGACACCAGTGTATTCCCATGAAAGAAACTTTAAAAAGCGTTTGGTATGTAAGAGGACAGACCTTCTTGGTTTTGTTTTTGTTTTACTCAGTCAGCATGCAATTATCGGTTCACGGGCTCATTTGGGTGTTTTTTAAGATGGCGGTTGGCATTACTTGCCTTAATTTGTAACATACAAATGTTCAGATAGAAGTAAGAAAGGCAGCAGATATTTAAAGATATCGTCAAGCAAAAATTTTGAATTAACCGAACTGCTTTTGCAAACTAAGGCAGTTTGGATAAAATGGCTTTAAAATATATTAAAAACATGGTAAAAAATTATTGTTTGTTGAAATTGGTATACTGTAAAAACATACAGCACAGGCCTTTCATCACTTGTCAGTGAAGCATTATGGGAGGAAGCACTTACGTGAGTGTGTGACTGGTGCAATCCCCAGAAGTGTTTCCTCTGGATGCAGCCAAAGCTTGGCAAGTCTTCCTTGTTTTCAATTGGACCTGCAAACAAGAACAACATTTACAACAGGGCCCCCACAAATATGGCACACCTGGTGCCCAGAAAACAGCCTCCCAGGGGACATGCACCGCATCATCGAATAACCTCAGTCAAGAATGAGTGGATTTGTGGGGGTTTGTGACCCACTTTGAGTGCTCTCTGTCCGTTGAAGGGAGAGACCGCAAGCTGGACAGAAGTTACTTCAGTGCGTATGACGAAATGCTCTACCTCGTTGAGATTCCTGCTCGTGAACATTAACCCACAGGGGGTGCAGTATGTATGGTCACCTCGTAGCCACAAGTGCATCTGACTCAAACGCTTGAATGTAAACATTCGACAGATGTCTGTCTGGTTAGGTATGTAAACTAAAAAATTATTTAGACTCTAACCAAAAAGTATGTGAAGATGCATAAAATTCAACATTTCGAAGGTGGGACTGAGGCTACATTGCAGTAGCGTCTTTAAAGCACTCGCGGGGTGGTTAATGACGCTTCATGTAATTCAGACCAATCATATAATTTTTGCAGTATACATTATTTCCACACTTTGCTATAGCATAGCATGCATTTCGGCTAGAAAGATACTGGTGTCATCTGCGTACATAACGTAATTAGCTGAGCTTTCAATGTTTAAAAGATCACTTATATAAATAATGAAAAAAAAATTGGCCCCAGGATACTGCCTTAGGGGGCACCACATGCAATTTCACAGGTCGTTGACAATTCTCAGTCAATACAAACTGACTGATACCTTTTGGATTAACAGTTACTTACTAAATCAGTTGCAATACATCGAATCCTATAACAATCTAACTTTTTTATCAGAGTAATACGGTTTATAAGATTGAATGCTTTCGAAAAGTCAATAAAAACACAAAGTGTCAGCAGTTTATTTTCAGTGCTGAGTAGAACTGATTCTTTTTGGTGCAATTAAGCCATTTCAATTGACAATCCAGGTATAAAAATCTACCAAGATGAAGCAATTATGGAAAATGGTTCACAGTCTGGCATGAATTACTTCTTCTATTGGCTTCGAAAAGAGCGGCAAAATAAATATTGGTCGGTAATTGCCTAATTATTTTTGTCCATGCTTTTAAACAAGACTGTGACTTTAACTATATTCACTTTTTCAGAAAATATACCCACATTTAAAACTATGTTTTAGATTTTCAGATACAAGTAGTGATAATGTCACAGATGAGCATTACTGGTTGCATTTTTATACAGTCAATGTTCTCACATCTGATTTTTTTAAGTGCTGTGAATGTATTGAATACTTCACTATGGTCTGTAAGAGCTAGAAAATTTATGATTGAGACGAAGGCTTCAACTAGACATGTATAGCTGGATAGTGAGAACCCAATCGCTAACATTTGCCCGTTTAGAATTCTGTTATCTATAGTAAAGTTCCTGAAATACGCAGTTGAATTTTGAGAAGTAACTGAAGAAAGCTGCAGCCATAAATGTTTGTTATCTTTGATGCTATCAAACACATTAGATAAGTAGTCGCATTTAGCAATGTGAAGTGTTTCGTTTAGCCTGAAGCACTACAGGGTACAACACTGATTGCTAAAGGACACAAAATTCTGAAGAAGAGATAACTTGTGGGGCAGGCTTGTGTAGACACACGCGTATCATCCACAAAATATCAACAGCTAGTACAGACTAGAAGATACTTAAAATCAATGTTGCAGCCTGTGTCTCGCCACAACACCCAGAAGACAGCTTTTGTCTTCGTGTAAACAAACAACTGACACCCGCGTTTACCGACACCTGCATTTGTGTGGCTGCCCCGATCCTTGCAAGAACACTTTCCTAGAAGGCCTTTTGAACAGGAAGAGGGGGCAGGCTTGCACGGGAATACAAAGGTTCATGCCTCAGAACGGCATGTTTGAGAGACCACACATATTCACACCTCAGAGGGCAATGTAGCAGCACCCAGCAAAAAAAAGCTGCCAATGCAGTGCTCGTGTGCATGCAGTTTTGTGTGCTCACAGCTGTATTTACACATAAACCACTTTGGGTCCTGCCTCACTCAAAACTGTGACTGGGCACTATAAAACTGTCTCCAAAAGTCAACAGTCAGGAGCTTCGGCAAACGAGCTTTCCAGATGTAATGGATGGGTCGCTGGCTACTCATTGCAACAGAAAAAACAAGATGCAAAATTTTTGAGTCACTGCCTCTTTAAGATTAAAGCTCAGGCAAATTGCTTTTATGCTTTTAGAAGCAGCTTGGCGAGATAAAATGTTTGCACTTTTGCTATAACATATCGATTCATCATCACAGTTCTTTAATGGTATATTCACGAGATTGACAAGATTTTAAAATTTATTGGGTCTGGTCAAGAGGACGTCTGGGAAAACACAGCAATGTTTGGCACATTTGCAGGATTGTAAGCATCAAAAGCTGACCAGTACTATAGTTCAAGTGGTATTGGCTGCGTGACACACTCTCTGAACAGTACAAGGTTTTTCTTTTAGTTGACAAACTTCTGCATTATTGATGGCATGCGAGTGCAGTATGAAAAACAAGAAGAAAGTTCCTGCCATCTGAACTACTAGTTTAAGAATGTCAAACTATTTGAAAATTATGACAAAGCATGTCATGAATGGATAATTAACTTTATTTATTCTACGATGAGACAGTTGCTCGTATTTTTGGGTTATTTTTTTTTACAGGCGCAGCTGAAAAAAATGGAGTGAAAATCGCACACATCTCCACTTAAAGGGAATCCTGAGTAGTGTGTGAAGCAGCCATGGGTCGACTTGAAGTTCTGTAAGATGCTCTTTATTCATCACCACAAATCTGCAAGGTTGCGCAGACAGCTGCTTTGCGAGTCCTCGCCTGCACCGCACGCATTCTCACGTCTTCATCTTCATTCATACAACTATGGGGTGTGTGTGTGAGAGAGAGAAAGTAAACGCCTTTATTATACAAAGCAGCACAGCGCCACTAGCAGTCTCCACTTATCCAGAGCACGCGCCGAAGTGGAGTGAGTGCTCTACCCCAGAGCCATCTAGTAAGTGCTCCGAGTACTAGCATGGCTACAACGATGAACAAGGAACGGTCTCCAACCATAAGCTGCTTCGCTTTTAAAAGTGCTAACTCCACCAATAAAACTCATTTCTTGTTAAGCTTTTGGACTTGTGCATACAATGAAGTAAATAAACTAGTTGCTGCATCAGACACTCTTGTTCGAAGATTATGTCACAATTATGGCGAGCTTAAACAAACAGCACAAAGAAATAATTTCCTAATTCTCAGTGAACAATCTTCTGATTATGAGACAAGTCTACACTTAAAGAAAAGAAGGTTGAACTTAAGGGCTTAGTTTTTTAATGAGGCCTGACAGACAATTATCCTGAGGAAAGTATAGGGCATATTATTTTAAGTAAGTGTAATGTAAATATAAAGAAAGAAAAGTGGATGAAAAGATAACTTGCCCTGGGCAGGGACCAAACCTGCAACCTTCAAATAACTTCTTTTTTTTCATTCATCTCGTTCGGCAGACTTAATGCCTTCAGGAGGTATGCGAGGGATTATTGGTCAGCCGGCAGCTCGTAATAAGATCCCGTGCAACGTGATGCAAATAGGCGAAAAATGTGTGTCCCACATTTTCCGCAATCACAACAGGCGGTGCTGACTGACGCTCCCACGTTTAATTCACATACATACTCCATAAAACGGACGGAAGGATAGCCACCAAGGGATGTTAGCTCGGTTGGTAGAGCATTGCAAGCGTTATTCAAAGGCCGCCGGTTCGATCTCTGCCCACGGCAAGTTATCTTTTTGTCCCCTTTTTCTTTCTTCACATTTCCGTTCCAATTACTTTTAATAATATCTCCTATACATTCCTTGGCATAACTGTCAGTCTGCCCTCATTAAGTCAACATTTGAAAAGATAAAGTCACCATGCACCAATTGGATTGACAACTACCACATTGTTACAATGAAAAGAATGCTACAAATATCTACCATAAACGCTGTTCAAACGTTGGGTGCACAGTAGGGAGCACCCAGGCTTAGCCTGCGGTAGTTACACTGCAGGCACAATTTCCGAGACCGCTCGTCCTGTTCCCCACTTTTTTGCTAAGCAATGGAGCGAATATCTTACCCCGGCAGGAGACTGTGACATTTGTTCCAAAGGCTCCTTCGACAAAGTATCCCAGATACGCCGTGTACTGAGGATCAGTGCCATCGCAGACCACCCACACTGGGTCAATGTCTGCCTTGTAGCTCTGCAGCATGTTCACTATCGCATTCAGGAGCGTCCTGGCAAAATAGAACAAAAAACTGAATCATTGGCCTTATCATCAGCTGTCTTTATTAGATTCCAGCATAAAGGAGCCTGTCAGTCTGATACTTGTTCATTACTTATAGTGTTGAACCTGGATATAACGACATTGATAAATTCCTGGAAAAATTTGTTTATAAAGAGGATTTTGTTATATGAAGGTTCGATAAAAAAATTTGTAAAGTAAATGCACATATCAAACAAAAAGAGGACTGAAGGCACAGCTAACCCAAAACACCTATTTAGTGGTGAAAAACTGCATTATTATTGCAATAGTATATGTATGGACACTCTCGGTGGGTTTTTGCTTTCACCAACATGTTCCATAACAAGTCTAAATTGATAACATGCCCCCAGGAATCATAACTTTCACCGCCATGTTCCATAAGAAGTCTAAATTGATAACATGCCCCCAGGAATCGTAATTTTCTCGAGCGGGTAAAAGCGCACGAGCGCTGCTGAAGCTCAGATCAAATGAGCCGGTCTATCTCTATTGCCTGGACGGCGCATAGGATAAGATCACTAGTGTGTTAGAACTGTCGTTGAATGCTCAAACAAAAAGTAAACCACCCGTCTTGAACGAGCATAAAAAAGTGGGGGGGAGGGTCCCTCGAGTAGCAACAATGAACATAGATTTTACGGGCGATCCGGATCACTGGTGCACGTGCTATCTAGTTATGTATCAGTGCGCTTTAAACGCGAAGGGACTGTGTGAAAAGAGCACTTCTCCCTGGAGCGGCCGTGTTTGCTTGCACCAGCGTTTCGTAAAAGTTCCGCAATGTCTGATCGAAAAGAGTTGGCTGCCAGCCTTACTTCGTATAACAATACAATTTTTTGCTATCGCGTTCATTGCATTGCATTCAATGTGCCGCCGTATTGTTGCCAGAACAAATCGGCTAATCACCAAAGTTATGCGCCTGCGAACTAGCGGCGGGACGCAAGACGGAAGCGCGTGGCGAGTCGGCCTCCGAAGATCCGTCGTCCCCATGGTCTCACAGAGTTTCCATCAGGGCCTAAGCTGACATCCCCTTGGCAGTAATGACACGGTTGTCCACATTTAAAAAAAAAAGCAATGCTGAAAGTCGTCCGGGGCCACACCATGCACACGCAGTCAAACCATGCATGCGCGCACGGCACCAAAAACGAAGAGCGAACGACATAGACACAGATACCAGGGAAAACTATTCGGTGAAGAGCCCTCCATATGCAGCACGGCCCCACATATGTGACGCTAACTGAAATCCTGGCACTGCCAACGCAAAAGTATTTTCTTTTTGGCTTGGAGGGGGCAGGGAAGCACATCCACGCATGCTCCCGTGGCGGAAAGAACGGCGGCAACGCCGACTCATGGGGCGCAGGTCCGCCTGCTCCCCTTGGCCTCACCTGCGCACAACAGCGAGCGCTCGCTCAGGCCTATTGCGCCGTGCGCGTCGCTGCCGCTTCATGCTACGTCTGTGGCAGCGCGCAACCACGGAAGATGCATGCTCGTGCCAAAATGACAAAATCCGCGGCAGAATTCCTAGACTGTCCATGGGAAAAATTCGTTATATCAAGGTTGCTTCTCTATGTAACAAAAGTAACCTTTGTTACATAGCAGTCGCAAATACATGTGTTTTTATGGAGTAACAGCGGAAAATAGATAAACTTCGTTATATTGAGAAATTCGCTATATGGAGGTTCGTTATAAGCAGGTGTACCTGTACCAGACTGCCCCGGGTTTACACGTGGCTGCATATGTGAGCCAGTTCATTGATGGGGCTATTAACATTTTTGAAGGGACAGATGCTGCAGTGGTGGGCTTTAGAGAACTGCATTTTTTCTCAGTGCACGACAGCTGCTACATATCTCCATGATGCGATCCTTAAACACAGTGGTCCATCAGCACATACGCACAAAGTAGCAACCGCACTGCTGACCCCTAAGCCAAATGATGCCATGACAGATTACATCTGTGCCCCAGTTGTAACATCCCAGACACCCTCATAGGCGTTGTGCCAGAAAACCTCTGAACAGCCAGACAAAAGCTTTCCAGACCATTTAATTTTTTTTTTTTTTTTAATCTGCTCTGTTGAGGCAGGACGAAATGCATTCTCTATAAGAAACAGCTTCACACTATAGAAACTACGACAACTCCCACAGTAAATGCACCTCAATGCCATCACATTGTCCTAGCATTCCCAAAGCCCAGTGTCTGGCCAATGTGGATAAAACAAACTGTTTGCAGAAAATTATTTTTCACCATGAAAGGGCTGAAGCCCAAACCAGGACACATGTTTTGTAACGTTTCCCTTTCGTGCCCTGCATAACCTCGTTCCTAGTATTTTGTTGCAGTGGCTATTTATGACACGGTTGTGTTTGCCATTGATGATTGGGTGCAAGCAAGTGTCCTCATTGGCTACTCTTTCTTGACTAACGAATGATTCTGACCACATCACTGTCTTAACTTATTTGCTGCACGTCGATCTCCAATCCACTGTGTACTGCACTAGTTGATTCAATTTTATGCCAACAAACATCTTAATTTTGTCACCCTTTGCTGTTTTAAGCCATATTTCTCATTTCTTGGTGCTCTGTCGCAAGGCCAACAGCTAGGCTAGTTGGTATGCTTCCATATTATTTAAAGCAGCGCAAAAGACAGACAAGAAGTGGACACTGATAACGCTTACTCACAACTGACAGGTTTATCGAAAAAAGCATAAAAAAGAAAACACAAAAAAGGACCCAAACGAACTGTGCAATCATCACCATGTGAGAATCTGGCCAATATGCACAAAGGCAAAAAAAAAAAACGATCTACATAGAGATTTCTCGTCTGTACACCAGATATGCAACAACAAGTTACGACCATGAGCTCACAGACATGCACGCATGCACACTGTAAACACATCACTGGGATATTGTAAACACCCCCTGAAGCACATGGCACAAACTCATTATGATGTTTTATACTACATTCCCCTTTCTGAGAGGCAGGGCTTTTCTTAAGTTTATTAAGAATGGCAGCGCAAATTTTTCCAAGTTTGTTAGGAGCGCTGAAAACCATTCGTACGCCATAGCCAACACCGACTTCTTTTTTAAGAGAATAGAAAAAGTTAATTAGTGAGTGCTTAACAGGATCCAGAAAGCGCAATGCCATCTTTATCTTTTTTTAGAATGCAATGAGCTGTAAGTTAAAAGTGGTTTTGTTGACTGGGGCAAAACATCCAACACGTGTGGTCATGCGAAAATGCTTACTGAAGATCCATAAACTGTAGGCGTTGGTCTATAAGTCCAACACTAGTGTTCCCTTCTTGTATTGTATTTTGCACTGCTTTAAATAATATGGTACTTTGTTATCCTCCTCTCGGCTCTCTCTCTGCTGTTCACTCTCTGGACTGTGCAAAGTGAGTAAACATTCATCCAATGTTGCCGATGTGTATATGAGGCTTTGACATTAAGTAATTCTGTGTGGTGATTGGTGTAGACCACATGCAGGTGTGAAGATCAGTTGCCTTGAGTTGCCTGTTTCACGTGGTCGTGAGACTGTTTATAGGTATAAATGAGCCTTGAAAATCCACAGTTATCATAATGTTGTAGAGAAGAGTGACACACCTTGCTGAAAAAGACTGCACAACAAAAATGTAGTATCACTCTAGGGTTTGCTAAACTGTGTGCCATCCTCACATGGCCTTAAACCATTGCATAACTTTATTAATATTGTATTTCATGGGCTCCTAACTTTGCTAAGAGTTTTATGAGCGACTTCAAAATTAGTATATTTTGAACTCATGCAGACAGAGCAGTGCATTGCTGGCCTTTCAAGTGCAAGTCATCGAAGAGTGTCGTGAGGGCTAATGTTGAAAATGTAATGTGCTGGGACTGTTGCAATAAGGAGAGCATTCCTAACCACAATGCGGCTGCCGGAGCATTGAATTCCATTCAGGTAATGAAAGGTCATTCCCGACACAGACTGCACCCATAGAAGACACACTTTTTAAAATTATAACGATTTCTGTAGCCATTATTACATGCTACGGTCTCCTATTGGAGCCATAATTTTATTCTTTATAGCAAACGATTTCCATGGAAAATCATGCACTGCAGGTTTCTCAATTTTTACTGGTGGCATGATGCTGAAGTCTCTTACAGCTAGTGCTTATTATGGGCACACCATTTCAAGAAGAAAATATTTTGAACAACTTTATTTTTAAAATTTACACACACCTTTTAATAAAACCAGAGAACATTACACCCCAGAAAATATGAGGTCATTGAAAAATAGCAGGCTTTTTAAGAGGAGCAAATATAATGAAACTCTGTAATGGGCTATGAAATGCACTGCCGAAGATGCAGTGATGACAGTGGTGGTAAGCTATGTGGTGAAATTAAATGACAAAATATAGCTGCTCAGAGAAATTAGGGCAAATTAAATTGTGTGTATAAAGAATTTACCTTCCTTCATCCGCAGGCAGAGCCTTCAACTTGTTTTTGCAGGGGGATCCCGAATTCTTGCTCGAATCATCATACGACGGAGATTCAATAAGTGAAAAGCTCTGCGGTTCCATTGGCCACTCTAAAGGACATCCAGAGAGTTCCAGTTCACACTCATTGTCGGATGTGTCGTCGATGAATAACGATGAAGATGTCGACTTGGACCGGGACATCTTCCGAGACTGCAGCAAACAGAAAGTTGACACCCCAAGCACTCCCCTTTGTAATCATAAACTGCAGAATAATCCGCAGCAACATCAACTAATGTGATCTTGACTTAAAGACCTAAGCTACTACAGCTGACAGCAAGGCAAATTGAGAATGCAATTATGTCTGTAGTTTACATGGCACAGAGTTCAGATCAAGAAAAATCTCGACACGAAATGAGTATCAGTGGCACAGTCAAATCACACTGAGCTACACTCTTAAACATTGGAGAGAACACAGCGCAAAGGAATATGAGGACAAGAAAGAGTGACACAGACACACCGCTGACTTACACTTTATTCAATGGAAAGAAAAAAAATTATACATAGTGTGCACATGCATCGCCCTTTCGTCACTTCCAGAATGCACGATAGACATGCCTACTGACACTGTCGCTGACCGTTGCTGTGTTGTTTTCTCGTCCTTGCACCTGCTCAGTTTTCAATGCAAGTCCGAGAAATTTGCTGCTGGTAAAGCAAGTTGATTTTGCAGCCTACGAACAGGGAGCAGAGCGCCGGGGTATTCTCTATGCCAAAAGTTATTACCTAAAATTGGGAACGCACGATGTGACTTTCCACGTGCTGGTGGTTTTCGGAAAGTCGCAGCTTCGGAAACCGGCGTGTTTGGCTGACGCGAATCAACAGAAACGACTTGAAAAATCTCGATAATATTAGTCTTCAGATGCAACTTCATTACAAGTAAGTGCTTTATTATGTAAGTGCACACCTGCAAACAGAGATAGCTTACCGTGATTGCTCTACCTACAAACTCGTCTACGACCACTGCATGCACAATCAGCGTGTAAGGAACGTGGTTTAAATCGTGAAGACAATCGGGGCGGCTAGAGTATTGCATTGAAACAGGCTGAAAACACAAATGTGAAACAAACAACCTTCATTTACTGGTGGATTGGAGTATAGCACAAATAGTTTGCGATCCCCTGTAGGTCAACATTCGAATCGGTCCGAGTTAGGGGTCAGGGCTCTCTGTTCCTTTTAACCATTGGTTGATTCCCTCAAAAAGTCTCCAACATTTTCAGGGGGCTACACTGTACATTAGAGCACAACAACGGAAGTAAAATACCAAGTAAAATTAGAATGGCAAAAACATACAAAAAAAAGTGACAGACATTACCAGCATGCAGCAACGTTGGTATGCACCACGTGAAATCTCTACTTCACACATTTTTTTTACTATTTTTCATTTCCTTGCCTGTTTTCATGCATGCATATCAAACAGCCTCAGTATCGGCCCTGTTTAAAACACTCGGGGTGCTGCGCTGCATGAACTGCTTTAGTGGTGTGGGCCGCATCGTATCTTTTATAAACTTGTCAGGCTCAGCACGATCAGCTCCACAAGATCAGACTCTCCGCGACGCCCTGGTGCTCGAAGTGCAAGGAAAACGATGATATAGAACACTATTTGCTTAAATGTCGTGAGCTTAAGAAGGAACAGCAAGGTTTATTTGAGGAACTGCAACAGTTAGGCTCGCCATGCGACAGTGTGACTGATATTGTGTTTCCGCGTGGTTCCTCAATCTTTAGGAAACAGGTGTCACAACTTCCCTTGAAATTTTTGATTGCTACGGACCTCGCATGTAGCTGGTGATAAGTGACAATTATGTTTGGGGTATAGTGCAGCGAGATAGAGTACCGGAACAATACTGCAAGTAGAATAGCACAAAGGCCGCCGTCTTATGCAGGATTACATTGCGCTATGCACGATTTTTATTTTAAAAGCCTGCTCTGCTTAGTTAAAAAACAAAGGACATTAGCTACAACTAGCAAAGAGAAAACCGGGCGGGGCAATCGCCTGCAAGTTATGCAAGGCTAGATCCGCCGGCTACCTACAACATCCTCAACCTCAACCTCGACTCGTTGATGGGAGCTGCTTCGCTTCGCTCATTCACTCGTAAAATATTGCATGGATTGAGGGACTTTGGGCTTTCACTTGTTCTTGGGCCACGTAATTTGTAGTGAAGGCGAGGTAATGTACCATCGTAGGTCACAGGCAGCCAGAGTCCATAGAGCCATCACTGCTGATGGAATTGCGGTAAGGGGGGATGCCTCCTATGTCTAAATCTGCTGGTCCTGTATCGACTGAAAGACAGAGGTCTCTCTGATCTGATAGGCTCTTTTGCTACAACAAAGTATGACAACAAATAACTGCACAGCTTCATTTTCAACATCGCGCACTGCTCACCTCGTGCTGCAGCATGTGAAACATCATAGGTACCCAGGCATGGCGGTAGAAGGCGATGACGGAAATGATGTCACATGAACAGTATAATGTATACACTGACATGCGCGACAACCAAGGTAAATTACGAAAGCTTATACCGAATGTCACACATAGTGCAAACACCATTGCGCACAATGGTGAGTCATTCATGGCCTGTCTATAGATATGATATTTCACGAGGTGACTGTCTATAGATATGATATTTCACGAGGTGACATGTTCATCCTTCCAGTGTTGCAAGTCGGCATTGTGTGTGCGTCGCCCTTTCTTGACCCCATCTTCTTTTGCACTGTGTTCCCTTCAAAGCTACCGCGGTTCCGAAATATGTCAGAAACAGTCTTCGAAAGTGTCCCCGAAATATGTCACAGCTTGCACAAACTTTGAAAAAACCGCCAGCACTTGATAAAAGTTGATCGCCACCTGATAGCGTTGGACCAGGATGACGGACTTGTCTGAAATTTCCAGTCTTTGTAGCAGTGGGTTTGACATGGCCGTTCGTTCGATTTCGTACTTCTGAAAGTGATAAACGCATTTGTTATGCTTCTCTACTAATCAGCATACACCATTGCTGGCGCGAGGGCAGCAGTGGCGATCGGTTAATGTTACCTGCAAGAACTGGACGGCGTTTCCATCCCACGACCCGTTCAGCACCCTGGGTGAAATCGAAACAAACTTCGACTCAGGACGGCACGCGTTTAATCAAGGGCGCCAATGACATGAGCTCACCTCTTCAGGGCTTCCATGTCGCAGTGGTCTCGTTTTCCAGCCATTACAAAGCTTTAAAAAACTCTACAAACCTACGCACTGATTTCGCGACTCTATAAAAACACTTAGGCGAAGGAACACGACACTTTTGAGACAGCACACGGAACAACACAAGCGGGGAAGGGCATTGGCAGGAATCACGAGCAGAAGCGGAGAGCCGCAACAGCCATATTTGAATCGATCCAGCGTTGTGAACGGCGCGCGAAACACGGCTCCGCTTTTAGTGTCGTTATTCCGTGGCCGCTTTGATAAGCCGAAAAGAACGACGAAAACAAGCTGATCACGTCGCTTCTGCTAAATTGTGCACATTTGTTGTTTGATGTATTTGCGCTCAAAAACTGCCACACTGATTTAAATCATGCGCTCAAATGGTAGCGAGTTCAGTTTCGGTTTCGGAATAAGGAACCACACGCGAAGTGTGTAGGCAATATATAAATTTATATATATATATATATATATATATATATATATATATATATATATATATATATATATATATATATATATATATATATATATATATATATATGTATGTATATGCTCACGGCTGGTAATTTTTTCATCCACTTTCCTTTCTTCTTATTTACATTCCATTGGTTCTAATAACTTCCCCTGTACATTCCTTGGCATTACTGTCTGTTAGATCTCATTAATATTGTGTTAAAACACGGAAAAACGAGCCCTTAGGTATACACTTCTTTCCCTTATTTCATTGAACGAGAATCTCGCACTGGCAGACTTGGTGTGTTTAGGTTGTATACGAGGGACTATTAATCAGCTGCCCGCTCATAATAAGTTCACGTGCTACGTGACGCCAAACATGCGCATAAAAAGAGTGTTTTCACACTCGTCGCTTGGCTTAGAGATGGCGCTGACTGTCACTCCTACTTCTAAATTCACATATAAACCCAAAAAAGTGGATGTAGGGAAGGCCGCTGTAGTAGCTCAGTGGTTAGAGCATCGAAAGCGTTATTTATTTATTTTATTTATTTATTTACAATACTGCTACTCTCCTTCGAGAGCGTGGCAGTTGGGCTATACAGTAATTTTTTACACACACAAAAAGGATGTAGACGTAAAAACACGCAAGCATAATAAGGACATGAGGATCATAAAACCATTGAGCAGTGCAGAAGTTAAACGTTAATTATGTTATTAATACACAATGTATGCAATAATCACAAGATACAAAGCAAGTTATAGCCATAATACAGAGCTGAAACCATGCCGAAAGGTGATAGAAATAAAATACATGATTGAATAGAGGAACTTAAGTTAGCATTGGTATCGTGAGGTAAAACATAAATGGAACAGTTGTGACAGGAATAGCAAGCACTGAAAGCATACTTCAAAAATAGCTATACTACTGTGAAAGGAACATTGAAAAAGGTGTTGCTTTAACTAACGAACAGCAGATCTGGACAGGTGCGCCTGCATGCGTATAAACTGTTATGCGCACCCAGTTTTTTCTATCTGTGCAATAAATTCTGATAGCGATTGGGAGTTTGTGATAGTGGCATCAAGTTGGTTACATTCCGCTATTGCGCGTGGGAAGAATGAGTACTTAAACGTGTCGTTCCTACATGCGTATTCTGAAAACGTGAACGCATGTTTATTGCGAGTTTGCCGAGCCTGTGAAAATGAGAGGTATTTGGATGAATCTATCTTGTAGTTATTTTTTACTAGCTGGAAAAGGAATTTTAAGCTAGCGTGTTTCGCTCTTGTGGACAGCGTTTGTAAACCTGACTGAGTTAAAAGATGTGTTGGGGAATCTGTGCGTCTATATTTGTTGTAAATAAATCTTACAGCTTTCCTTTGTATTGCTTCTAGTTTGGTTATATTAGTCAGCGAATACGGAAACCAGACAGTGTTTGCATATTCTAAAACTGGTCTTACGAATGATGTGTAAGCTAGCAGCTTCGTTGGCGTTATTGAGAGCGCTAGAGTTCGTTTTAAGAAGAATAGTTTGCGTAGCGCCTTCGAAGTTATATTAGCGATGTGTTTGTCCCATTTGAGATCAGAAGTCAGTGTAACTCCTAGATATTTATGTTCCTCAACTTTATTAAGAAGTGTGTTATTAATGGTGTATGCGAAGTTGGATGGTTTTGTTTTTCTGCTTACGGTCATTATCCCTGATTTTTGTGTGTTTATTTTCATCTGCCATTTAGAGCACCAATTAGCCACGACAGCTAGAGAATCATTAAGCATAATGTGATCGTTGTAATGATTAGTTTTCTCTATAGATCACACAGGCGTCCACAAATAGCTTGATGTTGCAAGTGATGTTAGCACTGATATCATTAATATAGAGCAAGAAAAGCAATGGCCCAAGTACCGAGCCTTGGGGAACACCGGATGTTACTGCTACTGTGTTAGAAGACATCTGTTCATAGAGTACAAATTGTGACCTGTTAAATAAGAAAGCTTTTATCCAAGCGGAAAGTTCTCCTATTCCGAAAACATTTTTTTACTTTAGCTATTAGTTTGCTGTGGCATACACAGTCAAAAGCCTCAGATAGGTCAAGTAGAATTAAGCCAGTTTGACCACGGTTATTAACTGTAATGGCAAGGTCGTGAACTAGTTCAGTAAGTTGAGTTACCGTCGATAAACCACTTCAAAAACCATGTTGGTTAGGGGAGAAAAAAATTTTGTGCTCTAGAAATACTCTCATGTGTTTTAAGATTATGTGTTCGAGTAGTATACATGATGTGCTGGTCAATCAAATAGGTCTGAAATTTGAAAATTGTGCTGCGTCTCCTCCTTTATGGATCGGTATCACCTTTGCGATCTTCCAATCGTTAGGTAGTTGTGAAGTCGTGAGTGATTTTTGGAAAATGAGACCAAGATATTTGCTACACCATTCTGCATATCTTTTCAGGAAACTGTTCGGTATATCGTCCGGTCCACTACTTTTTTTGGTGTCGAGCTTAAGTAGCAGGTTGAAAATCCTAGCATCAGCGATGTCTAATTGGTCGACTTTCGTACGATGTTGCTCTTCTATTGGCGGAATAACGTTATCATCAACGCTAAACACCGATCGAAAAAAATCGTTATATGCGTTGGCCCTAACAGTTTTTTCTTCTGGAAGGAGATGCGATGCTGCTGTTTTAGTGGCGCGAAAGTGATTCCAGAACCTGCAGGGATTATTTAGAAGGAACGTAGGTAGTGTCTCGTCAAAATAGCGTTGTTTAGCAAGTTTAGCTTTGTGCTTAAATTCCGCGATGGCATCCGGTAGCTTCTGGATTCTCCCCCGCCTTTTGTTTTTATTGCTCTACGTAACCTTTTCAAACATCGCTTCGCCTGAATAACTTCGCGCGTGATCCATGGATTATTTTTTGGCGGGCGTTTGACTTTTGTAGGTATGTGGTGAGTGATAGAAAGTGGTCATGGTGCCACCACGAGGAACTACGCACGCTGGTACGCCGTGGTCAGATATTCCGCGGGGTACATCAATTCTTATGCGGTTTATGTCGAAATGGTCGCTGAAAAACATTAGATCAAGTATGTTCTCAGTTACTCCCTGCGACTGTGAAACGACCTGATGAAGACTGAAGGTTAGCATGAGGTCAAATAACACATGCGAAGCTGATGATGTATAGCACAAACTATCCCAGTTAATGTCTGGAAGATTAAAATCACCCATGAGTACAACACGTGAACCGTAAGCATGACGTTGCATGTAATCATGAATTGCACTGATAGAATCGTCACCCGAGTTTGGGCTTCGATAAACACAACCTAACAATATGCTGGTACCGTCACAAAGTAGTTTACAAAAAACCGCTTCAGCATTTTGTACCTCTGGAAGGGCCACGAAAGAGAGTCCTTTTCTTATCAATATTGCCACCCCACCACCACGTGTGGGGCGATCTTTTCGGAACACGGAATAGTTGGGTGGTGTAAATTCGTGATCTAAAACATCAGGCGTGAGCCACGTTCCTGTGACGGCTGCTAAGTGAGGCTCATAATCGATGATCAAATTTTCAAGAGGTTCAGGCTTATTAATTACGCTTCTATCATTCACTGTGAGAAGTGTTAGTTCGCCTTATTTTGCAGCACGACGAGTTGTGGCTCCCTTTTTTGTTTGGTCGCCGAGTACGTTCGTCGTTCTCGTTACACGGGCTGTTTCTGAGGCAGCTTCCGCGTGTTTTTTCTTAAGCGGAACCTTGTCATCCTTTTCGTTGCTCCAGACATAGGCATGATTATTAATATACAGCTTGTCAAAAACTAAGGAAACCTTCTCGTTATTTTCTCGATTTGCCTTTGCACTGTTCCAAAGTTTTCTCCGAATTTCACGTACTCGTTTCGAAAAGTCTTCTCCGATAGATAGGCTTGTGCCACGAAGTTTATGTCCCCGTTTTAATATTGAAAATTTCTCTCTTGAGTCTAGCAGCTTGAGAATTACGGGCCTAGTTTTGTTTGTTTGGGCTCTACCGATGCGATGTATGCGTTCAATTGCTGCAGGTTTTAATTCTAGGGTGTCTTCAATTATGTTTTTGTTCACTGCACATTCAATTGTCAAGGGAGTCTCGCCTTCTGCCTCGGGAAAGCCATATATTATCAGGTTAGCTCGCCTGCTGCGATTCTCTAGATCGTCAATTTTTTTCTTGGATAGATTATATTACCATTTTCATATTTGCTATTTGTTGTTGACATGAATCCACTTTTTCTTCTAGCCTCGCGAGCGAGTCTAGTTTCTTGTCGATTTTAGGTAGGCGGCTTTCCTTTATCTCTTTGATATCTGCCGCGATTTCTTTTAATTGCTGGCTGATGTCAGGGCCTGGATTCGTCTCAATGTCTCCGCCTAGCAGTAAAAGTTTAAGAGTCGGTACAGCATGGTCAATCACAACAGCACATAGCCATGGGCACGGCAGCACAAGTAAGAAAGGGTCGTTTGAACGGATACAATTTCCATATCGCCTTTTCACCTGTAGGATGAAGACGAGCGGATTGTTAGGTGGTTGCATTCCGTGAGTGCCGCCGTGCCCAATGGTGCCGTCCCTCGTGAGATGGGCTTTTATAGCTGGGTTGAGTGGTGGCGCTGTGCGCAGGCAATGCGCATATGTTATGCACCCAGCATCCACGCAGGTAGACGACGAGCGACCCAGCACGGAATCCCATAGCTTGACCGGCAAGGAATCTTGTGCGCAGACACTGGTGGCGTTG